CACATAAGCAAAAAGAAAAAAGCCAGAAGTGGCGCTGTGGCTCAAGTGGTAGAGTGCTAGCCTTGAGCTGAAGAGCTGAGGGACAGCGTCCAGGCCCAGAGTTCAGGCCCCACAACTGGACCAAAAACAAAAAAACAAAGAACCTTGGGCGTTCCTGCCAGGGCTGACTTGGAACTATAACCCTCAGATCTCAGCCTCTTGAGTGGCTAGAATTACAGGCCTGAGCCACCAGCTTTCGATTACTTCTTGTTGCTTTTCTATTTATGTGTTTGTTTGTTTTTTCTCTGTATGCTTGGCTGGCTGATTTGAAGCTCACTGTGTAGTCTAGACTAGCCTGGAGCTCAACGATCCTCTTGCCTCTGTTTCCTGAGTGCTGAGTTTACAGATGTGTACCATCATGCCCAGCTCTGAACTGAAAGTTTGTCAGCAAGGAGGAAAAGAAGAATCGGACATGGATGAAGACTGGAGGGCTCTGTTTTAGGAACGGCACGTGCGATGGCCTGGCGGTAAACGCACAGCTCATTCAGGGGAATGAACATGCTGGACATAGGAATGAGAGAAGGTGAGAAAATTAGGAAGACTAGTAAGATGTTTAGGTTCCAGTTAGGACAGCCTATTTTTCTTTCTTTCTTTTTTTTTGGTCTGGTTGTGGGGCCTGAACTCTGGGCCTGGGTGCTGTCCCTCAGCTCTTCAGCTCAAGGCTGGCACTCTATCACTTGAGCCACAGCACCACTTCTGGCTTTTTTCTTATGTGGTGCTGAGGAATCGAACCCAGGGCCTCAGGCATGCAAGGCAAGCGTTCTACCACTGAGCCACCTTCCCAGCCCCATCCTATTTTTCTAAAAGGGTAAATCCTTCCATTTCCTTGTGGCAGACTCATTGGGAAATCCACAGTGGCCCCCGGCCCTAGTCATAACCCTGTTTAGTGCAGGGTTTTTTTCAGTGGTGACCTGGTCAGCAGATACGTTTAGGCACCGAATTGACCAAACATAGTCAAACCAGGCCTCGGGGGCAGGGCTGTGGCAGACTGCAACTCTTTCTTTCCTGAAAGGGTTAAGGCAAGCTCTGGGTTGGAGGGATGCCAGGGCCCAGGGAGAAGGAGAGGCCCAAAGAGCCCCGCCCCCACCCCTTGTGTGGTTTGCAGTAAGTAGTGGAGCAGGAAGCCCACTCCACTCCACACAAATCCCTTGCAACCACCTCTGGGCCCATGTGACTGGAAGAAGCTGGTCAGGTAAGGTGAGAATCTTGTCATTTGGGCCAGCAATGATGTCAGCTCAGAGCTAGAGCTTCCTTGTGTGGGTAGTGGGATGTGTAGCTTTAAAACAAAATATAGCCAGACACCAGTAGTTCATGCCTATGGTCCTAGCTACTCAGGAGTCTGAGATCTGAGGATCAGGGTTTGAAGCTTGCCTGGGCAAGAAAGTCTATGAGGCTCTTATCTCCAGTAAACCACTCAGAAAAAGCTGGAAGTGTCACTGTGGCTCAAGTGGTAGAAATCTAGCCTTGAGCACAAAGAGGCTCAGAGACAGTGCCCAGGCTCTGGAGTTCAGGCCCCATGGCCATAAATAAATGGGTAGATAGATAGATAGACAGACATATAGATAGAAAGATAGAACACTGAGTATCAATTGATACTTTTGGCAGGACAAGACACACACACACACACACACACACTCTCTCTCTCTCTCTCTCTCTCTCTTTCTTTCTCTCTCTCTAAGTTGCCCAGGTAACGGAGAAGGAAGTGGCAGATGAGTCTGGGCTTGCTCCAGGATAGAACCTCCTAGAAGCAGGACCTGTCCCTCAGCATTCTCTACCTCTTTAGTTCATCTGCTCCCTTGCTGGGGGTCTTCAGGGCTCCCCACCATTGGAACTAGGTCTTAGGGCTCTCCACAGTTGCTGAGGAATGAGACTGTACATGGTGGTGGGGGCAGGGGCATGGAGTCACCTGACAGTCATCTCTTCTCTGCATTTTAGCTGTCTTTTCTTTAGTAAAAGAAGGGTAAGGAAACCTCCCATGAAGTCTAGAGATTCTGTGTATTGGCAAAAAAAACCCAAATCCCCATGGGGCTGGGAAGGTGGCTCAGTGGTAGAGTGCTTGCCTTGCATGCCTGAGGCTCTGGGTTCGATTCCTCAGCATCACATAAGCAAAAAGAAAAAAGCCGGAAGTGGTGCTGTGGCTCAAGTGGTAGAGCGCTAGCCTTGAGCTGAGGAGCTGAGGGACAGTGCCCAGGCCCAGAGTTCAAGCACCATGACCACCACCAACAACAAAAAAGAAGAGGGGCTGGGAAGGTGGCTCAGTGGTAGAGTACTTGCCTTGCATGTATGAA